TCTGAAATCAAACTTGCAATTACAAATCGCACTCCCGCTACGCGGGCGTGCGATTTTGTAATCATGCGTTTGATTTCAAGCCAAATTGCACTCCACTCAGTTCAATTACCATCATAAAAATAATTATGTATCAATAATGATTATTAGTTCCGATTAAATGAAAATTAAACAAACATGAAAACTATATCACGCGCGTCAACCATACATTTATACCAAAAAAACAAGTTCTCTTATGGTGAGATTGCTCTTACCACAGGAAGACCAACGCCAAAATATTCCGTTTGAAATCCGCCTATGTCTTGATTAGTTAGCCATTTTTATAAAATGATAATTTTTGAGAAGAATTATTGTATGCGACAATCAAGTACATTGTTTTGAGATCTTGTATTAACTATAGATTACTTATCAAGGATTTGGTATTTGATTCGTGTAACTCCATATTGAGCGCAGTTTTCGAGAAGTCAGTATATCCCAGGTTGGCGGGAAAACCTTTGGTGTTGGGCGGAGGGGGTCACGTGACGTTGAGTTACCAGGAAGCCTGTTCCGTGTCATCTGTTCACGAAGAGTTTGATAGCTCCTGACCAATCAGCAGTGACCAGCACCTCTGACGTCACGGGTATGCCGCTTGTGTCTGGAGGGATGATAAGCCAGGGGACTGGGGTGAAGGTGGCAACTGTTACAACAGCATCGTGTGCTGGGAAAGAATTATATAGGAATTTGGATAAATAAAATTGGTTCAAGAGAAGCGTGGGGGATGATAGTGGGAAAGGGGGAAGGGGAGGGGATACCTTCCATGCTTTAGTACACTAGCTTAGAAGAATGGTTTCTGTGTGAGTGGGAAACGCGCGGTACTGAACTACAGCAAGTAAACGGTGCGACATGCCGTAACATACTTCTTAATATTACTGTACCATTCATCTAATCGCAATTCCTTATTTCTAGTCACAGCAAAATTCGCCTTGCTGTTATAGTAACTACAAATTTGTCACATTTTGTTCTCGTTTATACGCAAACTGCTCTGGAGAAAAAAAACAGTTACTGAATGAAGCCACCTACCAGAGAAGCTTTCGTAGAACTCGTTTTTATCTCGCCTGGCTGAAGGAATTCCGTGTTGTGTTCTCCAGATGTAGGCAAAATGATCCTCTGATCCGCAGATCAGGTACTGACCATCGTGACTGAAATAATAGATGACGTTATGAGCTGCCAAATGAATGACCTTAGCGTGACAGATCGCTATGATTGGGCCTTTTTTGGGGGATTAGGATGGAGACGGAGAGGGGGTAAGAATCAATGGTGACGATAATGTATGTTGATACTGACGATAACTAGAAAGTTGGCAGCTCTCCACTCTTTCTGGAATGCTACGGCTATGTTGACGACAATGATGATAATGACAGAAATCCATCTGCGATGATAATTATGTTGCCAACGACGATGGGGATGATGAAAATAGTGATGGTGATAATGGGTTGATAATGATGACGATGGCGACGATAGTGGTGAATAATGATGATGATGATAGTGTTAGTGGTGGTAATGATGATGGTAATGATGATGATGATGATGATAATGGTTGTGCTGATGATAGTGATAAAGTGAGATCATCAGATTACCTGAAGCTGGCTTTGATCTGGCTACTAGCATTGGTACACCCCTTGTATTTGCAGGACAGTGAGTTATCCTTCAGGTCATATAGACGAATGCGTGAATCGTTGGACGTAATCAGCACCTGTAACCAAATAACCATCAGGTAAGAGTTCTTAATTTTATCGAAAACAACGGTGGTCAAACGGGCCGTATGTTTAGTGTATGCGGGAAAAAGGTCTCAACCTCGGGCCTTCACCTCTCACTATCCGACTCTAAGTGCCCGAATGTTTAATGACGAAAGATCACAGTGGTCTGGCATTTTGTGTGGGCCGCTGACGTTCCTGTAACTTTGACACTGCGCAATTCAGTATTCTGATTGGATGATCAATGCGCAATTCAGCATCCCGATTGGATGATCAACTTTTTGCGTATTATGATTGGTTAAGCAGACTTCATTACATCATACATCATACCTTCTCTTCTCCAGGCATTGGTTCAATACCACTAATCTTTCGACCACGTGACCGCTTGTTTCGAGAGGAAGATCGTACTTGCCACTGGGTGTGGTACTTTAGACGCTGAAGGGAGGCAAGATAATGGACTATTTTTTTTTAGTTATAGCCGGATATTTTACAACCATAATTCCCTACCTTTGCTCCACACGCAATAACAATATTCTCACTATTTACAACACGATATAAAGTTGATTTTTATGGAGGGAGGAAAACCAGAGAACCCGGAGAAAACCTCTTGTAGCATGGAAGGGAATAACACATCAAACAAACTCTATTAACATGTGTGGTTCAGTCAAGAATGGACCCAATCCATTTAGGGCTCCTGACTGGACAACCCTGTGTAAATATCCACCTAGGAATAATATTTCCCCATTTCAGATTCTTCGTTTGAGTTGTATCCATATTCATGTATCTTTTTATGCGCAACCATTTAAACAAAGAAATGATACTCTAAAGAATTACACTTAGTCAGAAATGGGCAACAGTGGATTAGGTCTATCGAGCCTGCGACTAGCTTGGACTACACAGTGGTGATGGACAGCGCTGTAGCAGCACATGCCATCCATGCCAGTTTTTCTTGTTTTAATCACCATAAGAGAAATTAATAATTTCAAATGTCTCACCTCAGTCTCATAGAATATACACCTTCCATCGTACGTACCAACAACAGCGAATCTGCCCTGGAGACAGAAGTTTGCTGCTGTGATTAAATTACTTCCTGAAAACAGAAAAACGCCACAGGTTGATACACTCACATCCAGCTGATAACATGGAGATGGCTGCTCTTTTTTTGTATTCAACCTTGTTACCTTGTTTAAGATCTTTGGGAGATTCTTGGAGTTTTTCTTGGGGGAAGAGAAGAGGGTTGGGTGTTTTTATGCATATCCCTCCCAGAAAGTTTTTGAATTTAATCTGGAGATACTTTTCCACATTTGTGGGAGGGGGAGGGGGGGATGGTGATGCACCAGTAAACTTCCCATAGATATGTCACTGGAATGTGAGAATTTGCAAGTTTTTTTTGGTTCAAAGGTAGGATAAAACCTCAGGATACATGACATAAAACCACCAGATATTTTAAAGGTTTCTTTTGACTCACCTGTGCCTTCAACTTCATTCCAAAGAGCAACTTTTTTGTCTGGGATATTCCAGAGACGTATTTTACCATCTAACGAACCACTTAAGAAATATCTGTCATCCTAGAAAATTTAGCAATGAATTCAACATTAAATATCAAAAATACAAAAAAAACAAAAACTTAAGCAGTTGCTTTTTAAATTCCATTGGGTAACCTGATTGATGACAGTAAGACGCGAAGGCCTAAAACTTAGCACAGGGAGCCCAATAGCAACCCTTTAACCCTGCTCCGTCACCTCTGTTGATTCAACAAAGGGCTTAAATGAAAGGAGATATATTGGAAGAAAGGAAGAAAATATACTTACTCTTGGATGAAATACAATAGCAGTCACAAAATCGATGTGCTGAAAACAACAAAGACACTCTGTTCTGGAAATGTGCCATAACCTGGAAAAGTTATTTCCAAAGAAGCATTAAAATTAACATCACAGATAACATCTGGAATACTTATTCATTGTGATTTCAGACCACGTCATTCCCTAGAGAATGACCACTGATTCTTTGTTTTAGTTGCATTCATATTCATGTCTCTTCTCCTGCGCAATCATACCCTTGGGAATGACAAGGTCTCTAATGGGAAATCATTGCACCACAACAAATATAAAAGGTCTGTTTTCTGTTCAACCATCGTGATTTGAAAAATGTGGTAAACTTCTTAATATTAACAGGGTTCTGCTTTTTGGGATTTCCTGAATTGGGATTTGTTGACTATGGGACAGAGTAAAACCTACCTAACAGTTTTATCCATTGAAGATGAAAGAAGAAAATAATTCTGTAAAAAATAAAAACATTAGTTTGGAACACTGAGGGACACTCCTAAAAATAAGCTTAATATCATAATTATTTTCTATAAGTGATGAACCCTCAAGAAGTAGCCAAATGACCATTCAAAACAGGATGACTGCTTAATATATTTACTTAATAGAGGTTTGAATGTATATTGTACCTTTGACCAGGACAAATCTAAAATATCACCAGTATGACCACAATATGTACAGAAAGGTTTCTTCATGAATGGGCCGTTGTCATCCTCAGGTGGCTCCTGATGGATAATTGACATTTGATAATTAACGACAAAGGTATGTAGGTATCAAGCTGATAAATAAGTATGTGTAGATGAATGCAGGATTGGATGGATGGATGGACGGATGGACGGACGGACGGGTGGATGGATGAATAAATGGATGAATGAATGAATGTGACTGACCAAATGAATGAATGAATAAGTGACTAAATGGATAAATTGATAAATAGGATGTCATATGAATGCATAAATGGATAGAAGTGTACCTTTTTCTTGTTATCCTCTTCATTTCCTTCTTCGACATTCTCTTTCTCACTACCACTGTCACTGCCCTGTCCCTCTTCTTCGTCATTCTCTAAGATTTGATCTACTTCAGGATCAGGTTTTGCTTTATGTCCACCTGTTAATGAGACATAAAAAAATATATTTATAAACAACACAATAATCAGATGAATAGATCTCTTTAACTTGGGAGTAATGTTTTCCTATTTTAGACCATCATGTCATTCTCTGAGTATCCTTTCTTTGTTTAACAGACACATGAATATGGATATAACTCAAACAAAAGATCTTATAGTGAAGAGAAATACATGTGGTTTGAAATAGGAAAACATTCCATTCAAGGTATAGAGGGCTATTGCAATATAAAGTTAAATTGCTGATATTTAACTCCAACAGCTCTGTACATCAAGGATAATCAAGGAGGTTGACAGTTTCCTAACCTCTCTCCATCAGTTCCCCTTTTTTAAGGGTATTCAAACCTTAGGCTACACCAATACAGAGAAGTCAAATGATTATGCAGAAGTTGAGCAATTTAAAACTAAAGCTAAAAGCAACAAGAAAAAACCAACTCAATCTTACCTGAGTTGGAATATTTTTCTCTCATTTCCTCAAAATATTCTATATTTTCTTTTAGCACCCATACTCTCTGTAAAGAAAATTACTCATGTTAAAAGCGAGAAGATAGTCGTAGAAAATATCAATTATATGATATTTCTCAATACCAATATAAAACAGTAGTATGTAGTATGTAACTTCAATATTATATGTCTGACAACTTACCACCATATGGTCTTGTCCTGCAGTTGCCTAGACAACCCAATGATAAACGATCAAACAACAGATTAAATCAATTACTATAATCATGGGACAAACTGGATAAATGAAAATAAATGGAAATCTTACCATTAATCGACCACACACTGAAAACTTTACAGTCCATATTGCACCCTATAAAGAGAAAATAAGATCAGCTATCTATTAATATACAGAAAATAAGAGAAATGGATTTATTTTTCTGTATTCTGGCTACTACCGAAATTCCATTATTTCTCTTTCTATTTTGCGTACTAAGTGATCCAAGTATTCCTACCACATGTTCTCCGCTCAGGTCTTGAAGTAATTTCAGCTTCTCAAACTCTTCTGGACCCTTGCCATGGGCAGATTTAATCTTGAATAAACCAAGAAAAATATATTAAATATTATAAAATAACTGCTCGAAATCTTGCGTTCTGATTGGTTGGGAGCACATGCTTTATGAAAGCACACAGCACACGCTCGCACTTTCAGTTTCGTCATTTATGTAATATGTATTTAAAAATAAAAAATAAAAAACTTGTTTGCTGTGCTGTGTACAGCCATAAAGCACTTGGGGATTGGCAGAGCACTCGAGAAGTGTCCAGAAGCACTCCACTACGCGTCGTGCTCCTCCTAACACTTCTCTCATGTTCTGCCAACCCCCACATGCTTTATGACTGCACACAGCATGCACACGCGATTTCTATTTCTTCAACAAAGGAGACTCAATGTTCATAGCACTGAATATATTTTGAGAATAAACAGTGGCTCATTTCCTATTGGTTATTACCTTGATGTATGGTGTGGTTGGACCATCTTCATCCTCACTTGATGAACTGTCCTCACCCTTTTGAGCTGATAGTAAATCACATAATAATATTATAGAATCACTTTTGAACCTTGTTGTCATGCTTGCACTGCGGTGCAAACTTGTAACTTTGGTTAAAATGCATGCTTCGGAACTACCCTGTAGGGAAGCAGGAGTGGTGCACAACATTAATGCTCCACCTCCCAACAATGCAAAGCTGACTCAATTCCTCGGCAGGGTGTCATATCTGGGTAAAGTTGCATATTAATTTTCTACCCTTCAAGGGTTTTTCTAAAGACTTTTGCTGTTTTCATTTTTCCAAAAAATCAACTCTTAAGAGAGGCTGTCCGTAAATATCAACTATTGTCGGAAAAAATTTAAAAAATGAAAATTTTCTTTTCCTTACCAGAAGATTACATTAGTCGAACTGATTCTCAGAAAAAAATAAAAAACTTGAAAAAAACAATTTTCTCGCCGAAAAATGACATTTTCGGTTTTCTCGCTTCCAGGC